CGCAGTCGCCGGTGCAGCCGGCCCATCCAAACCTCCCTCCGGTGCAGCCCCATCCGGCCTCTCAGAGCCTCTCCCAGCCACTCTCTGCCTATAACAGCAGCAGTTTAAGCCTCAACAGCTTAAGGTAGGCAAATGGAAACGTGTGTGCGCTGAAGCCCCGTGTCAATGCAGACTTGCTGCCTGGTGGTGATGCTTTACAGTGCCTGGAGGAAGTGGAGATGAATTAGCTAAAGGAGAGAAGTGGCAGCACATCCCGTCCCATGGCTGGGAAATAAAGGGGACTTTGTGCATTTAACTTTAATTCCTTCCCTGAGCTGAGCCAGGATCACTTTATTTCTGATCTAGTGTTCCCATAAATGCCAGGTATTCTCGAGCACTTAGTTAATTTGCTTTTACTTTTCCTGCCTGTCATTGTGTACTCAGGTTTTTGGAGGGAACTTTATGCAATATAGACCAGGAGAAGAAAATCCCAATTCTTGCTGGTTGGACTGCTCTCTGAAGGCTAACTTCTTTTACCCTCCCATCCCTGTAAACATCTTCTGCTTTCTGCAACTATTGACATGCCCTAGAGCAAGAAGTACGTTACAGCTGCTGTTGGTCCTGCTGACAGCCTAGCACAAACAGGCTTGCACCAAATGACTTTAAAGCTTAATTTTTTCCTGCACTGCTGACACCTTGCAGTCTTCAGTGTTTTTCTCTTCACCTGGCCACAGTGAGATAAACCTCACCTTTTATAGGGGATAACAAAGGTGAACAGAGAGATGAAACAGCATGTTCACAGGAACCCATGATGTCTCTGTGAGTCAGGGGCCTCAGGTTTCCCCTACTCTAAGCTAATGCTGTCAGCACTGGGTCATCCTTCCCCAAATCTGAGCTTCCAGCAGACAGATGGTATCCTTTCAAGACCTGGTGAACCAGCATTATGGTTGCTTCGTGGTTTGACTAAAGACTGGGAGTTGTTTAAGACTTCAATTTATTTTGAACCAAATTGGTACTGCTTGTCTTTAAAAGTCCCTGCAATAGAAGCATGTTGTTACTTGAAATAGTGACAAGTAGAATTAAGCACTACGTTAATATGTTTTAAATACTCAGTAGGAAATGAAACCTGAAAAATTGCAACCAGTGTAATTGCAAATATTTATTTTGCTGACTCGTCTTATCTCTCTCTATATTGGGGGGGTAGAGAGAGGCATTAACTGTACAATAAGCACATATCTGTTGTTGCCTTCTCAACTTTGTTTCACGTTTTCTGCAGTCTTCCATCTTACTAAGTCATAGCAAAAGAATTAAACTTTTATTAATGCAGTGATCAGTGATGACTGATTTTGAGCTTCATTTGCCTGAAAACATGAATCAGAAGCAGTGATGTAGAAAGGGCCTGATAATTAAGTAATGAATGCACAGGGCTGATTACTCCTTTGTGTGTCATTCCCGTGTTGTTGGAGGACAGAATATCAATCTCTTACAGAGATGGAGAATGTGTCTCGGGTTTGGGTATGGAGAGATCACAGGAAATAAAAGGTACTAGAAAAGGTACAGCAGGTGGTTGGAGAAGGGAGTATCACAGTGGTATAGCTATAAAAGCAAAATAGTAACTTGCATTTGTAATATATAACTTACATTAGTAATGTGTTTAACGCGAGCCGTGCATAGCTTGGTGGGGTTGTGTATGTGTACGGTTGGAGCTTTTCTCTCTTCCATGCAACGCTTAATTGCTTTTCTTTTCATTAACAGCAGCAGCAGAAGCAGCACTCCTGCCAAGACTCAGGCTCCTCCTCCACACATCTCTCACCATCCCTCAGCCTCACCATTCCCCCTGTCTTTACCCAGCCACAGCCCGCTGCATACCTTCACGCCCACCCTCCAGCCCCCCGCACACCCACATCACCCCAATATGTTTGCCCCTCCTACGGCTTTGCCTCCTCCACCTCCATTGACGTCAGGGACACTGCAGGTTCCAGGACACCCAGCTGGTAGTACTTACTCAGGTAAGAGACAGATGGGTCATGGCCTGAGCATGTCTAGCACAGTGTAGGAAGCCAATTCTCCGGTTTTAGTCAGAATAATTCTTTTTGGTCCATTTGATGACGGCTGTTGGTTGGGTAGAGGCTATACTCATTGCTGAACGATTTGGAGTGATATCAAAGCCAAAAAACACCTAGACATACCCAATGACTTTTCTTCTGCCCTGGGAATGAATATTTTTGGAAGGATGTGCTTTTTCCAGGTCTGTTTTTTTCTCCCCACGGTAAAAACACACTGGAGTTCATAACATGCCCACACAGAATCTCTGACCCCCTTAGCGAACATCTTTGCTGCAGTTGTGGTCTGTGCTCAGTGTTGCTTCCCTGGCTAGAGGGAAGGTCTCCAGCGGCTGTGCATACAGTGGTCCTGAGCTTGTGTACGTGCAAGATTGTGTGTGTGTGTGTAGGTGAGATGTAGAGATTTTTATCAGTGGAGAAAACTGTGCTCTTTTATACTTCAACTGTGGGGAGATGTAACGTGTCTGTTCCTCCCAGGTCACTGCGAGGGAACTGGGGGAAGAAAATGGAGGATTATCAGTGTTGGAGTAACATCGTTTTGTGTCCATGCAGCAGGGTACTCATGTTAGCAGCAGCCACTCGAGGCTTACTCACTCCAGGTCACCCGTACCTCCTCACCTATTTAGGACTATGTCCACATCCATACAAATTTAGGGAGAACCCTCACGTTAATGCTCAGAGGAATGCTGTAGTGAAGACAGACTTGGTGAGAGAGGGGAAATGGAGACTTTCTTCTGTCTCTCAGGCCTTGGGGAAGATCTGAGGGAGCTTTCTTATCCTGTACAGTGTCGTGATTTACCACCAGGAAGTTTTAAATACAGCGTTGCTACCACAGCCAGCAAAAAGTAAGTGGCACAAGGTCTGGAAAAGTCCCTGAGCTCATGGGGGGTTGTTTTGCTGTTTGTATTTCAGAACAAGATCTTCTCCGTCAGGAATTAAACACGCGATTTTTGGCCTCGCAGAGTGCAGATCGCGGGGCCTCCCTGGGCCCGCCACCATACCTGAGGACCGAGTTCCACCAGCACCAGCACCAGCACCAGCACACACACCAACACACGCACCAGCACACCTTCACGCCTTTCCCGCACGCCATCCCTCCCACTGCCATCATGCCAACGCCAGCACCGCCCATGGTGCGTACCCCAGGCAGAAATGTGAGGATAAGTAGAGCACAACTCTATTCTTTATTACAAAAATTTAAGAATTTGCCATGTTGCGGGGAAGGAGTACTCTGCTGCCCAGGTGTGGTTGGGTAGGAGAGGAAGGACTCTGCCTTCCTCGCGATTGTCACATGCGCAATAGGTTCAGGTGGCAGCACAGGGGCTGAGGGCTGCTGGCTGAAGGATTGCCCGTCCTTGGGACTTCCCAGTGCTTGGAGTGGGGCACTCTGGTGCCTCCTCCTTTTTCCTGTCTCGTAAAGACCTTGTTTTACTTTGAAGAAAGAAAAATCCCAAACAGTTTCATTGGAAACTAATTTTCTGCACTTTTTTCCCTCTCTGTTGGTTGCCAAATAACAGAGAAGTAGTCTTCTATTTTACCAACAGGAGTAAAGCAAGGAACTATAAAGTAACTAGTTTGTGCTTTGATCCCTTTGCAGTTTGACAAATACCCTACAAAAGTTGACCCCTTCTACCGTCACAGTGTGAGTTTTATTACTCTGTTTAAAACTGACTTAACTGCTTTTCTGTGGTGGGTTGGGATCACCACTCAATCAATGACACAATGTCAAATCTCTCCCTAATCATCACTCCAGGATTTACCATTATCGTTCTTGGTTGCTTTGGCTTTTGAAGGCTTGCATTCGTGGTGCTTGTTTCTGATAAAGATGCAGTATCGGCTTTTCCAATCAAAAGATCTCTTGCTCATACACCATTTGAAGACAGGTTTGATGTGAAAAAGATGAGACAGAAGAGCTGATTGTTACATGAAGCAGGAGAGAGCAGTAATTTCATCACTGTGTTTCAGTTGTGCCACAAGCCCTTAGACTGATGTTTTTCCTAAGAAACTTGAAATGAAATGACAAACTATCATACAAATCCTTCAGGGATAGGTAATCTAATAGTTTTCCTAATATATCATATTTCGTTTTATAAAATCTGAAAACTTGTCTTATTCTTCAGATTTCAAAGGCACATCTGATCCACTGGGCTTGTTATGTTTTGAAAGCTCTGTTTGATGACAGCAACATGAATCCAGCTATGCACTAGATGTGTTTATTTAAGAGCTACCAAAAATGTTATTTATTGAGATGAACTGATTTTTAATATTCCAGTTAATTGTAAAACTTAGGCTCTAAGGGTTTGAATCTGCTGATTCATTTGCTGCTGAAACATGGGTTGCATTTCCTTCATCGTATTGGCAGAGGCAGGTATCTGGTTGAATATGACAAGAATTTCTAAATCCAGTAGTGATATTTTGATGAGAGAAGGAGTACTGCATCAGCACTCAGAAATTTGCAAAGCACTTGGCTGTGTGTGTTGGTTTTGCTTAGAAGTGGAACTGGGCAAAAAAAACTGGTTAAGATGATAGCGTGATGCTTTCTGCTGTACCGATTAAACACAGTTCCTGCTAACAACTCATGCCTGTAGTACATGTGAATAGTCCTATTAATTTCTGACACCTCATTTGAGTAACTTTAACTGTATGAGTGTGTTTGCAGGATCAGAGCTCTAGGAGTATTAGGCAAACATTTAAGCCTATGATAATCACTTTTACTCAAAAGGGTAATGCTGCTCATTTGCATCATTGTTTGCAAGATTGCACTCTTATTTGCTGAGCTTTACTTGGATTGAAAAGATACATTATCATCAATGTGGCATGTTGATTCAAGCAAGAACACGGAACTGGAAAATAGGTAAATGAATTTTAGACAAATAAAGCACAGAAGTCAACATGTAATATAGGAAACATTGCAAAAGTCTCCAACTGTATATGCTTTTCAAATTCAGTGACATAATCTCTTATAAATCTGGCAGTTACCTGAATTGTAAAGGTCATGGTATTACCCCCTTTAAAGTAAGGAAAGGCTTCACGTTGTTCTCTGTCAGCCAGTGAGCCATGCTGTTGAACTTGGCAGGGCTCCACCTGTGCAGAGGTCTGGTCCAGGCCTCCCCTGCCTTTCCTTCAGGGAAGGTCTGTCCTGGTGAAGTGGTTGCAAAATAATCACTATTGCGTCTGTTGGATATTTAGCAAGCTAATACCAGAAGATCAACATGATGGCTACAAATTATATTGGAATAACAGTCTTTCTTAAACTACAGCAAGGCCATACTAGCCAGGGTGTTTCAGTAATCTCTTCTACTATGACTGTGGATCATATAGGTAACAGAGGAACTGCGTGCATCAGTTTCCTGAGCAGCTGCAGTATCAAAAAGCACACTTCTGCTGGCATAAGTGCATACCTGGTAGAGCTTTTCCTATTGTAGAAATATTGTGAAACTGTGGCACTTCCATAGACCTTTTCCTAGTGACAAGAGTTTCTACTATAGATCCACACCAAGAATTCAGATATCTTAAAAAAAGCTGGCAATGTTTTTAAAGCTTGTAAGTGAACTTTGCGGGAGAACAAGGTCTGTTTGAGAGTTAAAATCCATCTACTTTAGAATAGGAAACACAGCTCACGCAGAAGCTCATGTAGAGATTTCAAAGTTCTGTGTCTTGGCATCTTTGATTTTACAATCTTTTTTTTTTGGGAGGGCCTCACTGTAGCCCAGTGAGGCATTACTTTTACCTACAGTTTGTGCTGGCTCTAGTTTAGCGTTACATTGCCCGTGGCCCCAGGAAAGCTGTGGGTACTACATTGTTCCCTGAAGAAAGCTAGAAGGGGAAAGTGTTGCTCAAAAGAGAGGGAGAAAAAGGAAACACTGACTATGAAAGATGTATTTTGAAAGCTGGAGGAATTTAACTGATACAATGAGATCCTGGAGATACAATATTTATATTTAATTAATAATTCTGACCTTGAGGAAAGGTCACATTTAATTAAGTTACCAGTTGTTATAAAACTTGAAGGAAAGCATTCCTTATTATTGGTCATAGCCAATAGAATATTAAGTATTATGTCTCTTTCCATCATTTGGAATTAGTTCATTACACACAGAATTAAATGCAGAAGACACTGGAGGATTTAAAACACATTTTACTCATTAAAAGTTATTGTAAATGAGGACATGTGTCTCTTAATGATTTCTCAGATGCCTACAGTTCAGTATCAACTAATCTAAAAATGCTTTCTGCATCATTGAATGGAGCAGGTCCAAATTAAATAGAAGTAAAAACAATAGAAACGTGTTATGAAAGGAGACTCGATACCATGCTTTTAAACTGAGGAAATCTTTTGATACCTCTAAAATACTGAAATATTTTCTCAGCTTTCAGTCAATATAATATGAATAAATGACCTTGCAAGATAAGCTAGTGGAAGAAAAACCGATCAAGAAAAGCACATACATATACCTGGCATAAACAAATTCATCAAAACTTCGCGATAGTGATTTACTCTGGGATGTGATTTTCTCAGTGTTTGCCCACTCCGCATGTCCAGTCTTTTACTTTGCCCAGTCCTGCTTCTGTTCAATTGGCCATTAACTCATTTATTTTGATCTTAAAAGTAGCGTACAGTAGATTGATTTTTGATCAGCTGTGTTCAGAGGTGAATTTGTGTCAGCCAGATAACCCCTGTAGGGTTTTGGGTGGCAATGCCAGCGGAGTTAGCAGCCATCCCCTGTTAGATCCTGAGGTTTCACAGTGAGAATATATTTGTACTGTGATGCCTTGAACCCCTGACTCCTACCAGAAAGTAATTTTGTGTGTAATCTCAGCATTTTCCGTGGAATTGGGCAAGTTAACTGTGTTACAGCATGAGTAAAAGATTCACAGCTGGACCACAGAGGCAAGATAAGATTTGGACGTTATGGTTTACTTGCTTGTTTCCCATGTGTTTGTCTGCATTAGCACAAAAGAGTTTTTTGGGTTTGGGTTTTTTTGGGTTTTTTTTTCTAAATTCTCTTAGAACAGATACATTGGGATCAGTGAGGTCAGTGGAGATGTGCACTTTTTTATGCTTAGTTGTCTGTCTTTATAAAAACAGCACCCCCTAAATTTTTGTAGGGGTTCTGCCTCAACATTTTGTTTAAATAATAATTTTTAACAAATCAGATTGTCTCTTGCTAATATTAGATGTGGCAGGATATCCTCTCAGACAGGCTAATGAAGTAAGAATTGTGCGTATTTTCCTCATTTCCTACAGATACTATTAAAATCCTAATGTACTAATGGAGTTTTAATGATACAATATCCTAGAACGCGTAAGGGTTTTTTTCCACTTAAACGGTAGATTTCTGAGTCTTACTTGGCTCAGTATTCTGCCTTTTCTCTTGAAATGGCTTGCAAACTGAAACCATTTAAAACCTCTATCCACTTTAAAAATTAATAATTGGAAAAAAAAAATACCTCTTATGCTATGGCCTAATCCAGGGGATAGGTTGCTGGCTTTATGATTTTGGAACTGCTTTTAAGCTCTAAACGTCATGACATTTGTGAACATTTCATTGACTGCTTTAACTAACATTGTTGCAACGAGATCACTTCTTCAGTGCTTCTCAGTTTTCGCCATGTACCATTTCCCTAATATTACGCAGGAAGGCTTTTGCTATCTTGTTTAACTTCCTGTCTTCATTTTGACGTGCGCTTCTATTTATGTTCTTCTGTCTTGTTGTTACAGCTGTTTCACTCCTATCCTCCAGCTGTATCAGGTATTCCTCCCATGATTCCTCCAACTGGCCCATTTGGCTCGCTACAAGGAGCATTTCAACCCAAGGTAAGAAAGGAATTATTTGTGTATCTATTACTACTCGAACACTCTGGTGTTGTGAGCCAGGTTACATTTAGGTTTAGAACATGGTTCAGATTCTGGAGTGATTGAGATCTGAGTTACAGCCTAATTCCACGGAGGACAATTGGCTTTTTCCAAATTTACTACAAAGAGAAGTTATTTCTCATTAGGTTCAGATATATCTACATACATTAAAAAAAAAAATTAAATATAATGGCCTAGTTAACTTTAGAAGCAATATAATTAGTTCTCAGTACGCATTAATGTAAGGTCATGTAATAATCAAGATTTTAAGAAATCATGATCATGATTGTTTACTCATTTCCATAATTATCTCACAGCTCCACCACAATGCAGTACACTGATTTAGTTCTCCTCTCGTTTGTGGTAGCTAGGATAGATAAATGTGATGAGTTTGGGTTTTTTTTTTCTTTTGTTTTCATGAAGTCGCACTTGATTTATAAGTGGGAGGAAATCATACTCTGTAGTCTTTGCAGCTAAAGACTGAAATCAGGACTGAAATTTCTGCAGAGAAGACACCTTCTTTCTTAAATTGGCCCATCCACTGTAATGACGGAATATGTAAATTGCAGTTCATTAGTGGAATTCTTTGTATGTATAGTAATCAGACTGTTAACAACTCTGTTACTTAATTGTTAGTTATACTGTACCTGATTTCTATTTTTCTTCGTTTTAACGTAGGAAGACGCTCTCTCTAAATGTAGTTGGTTTGGGTTTTTTCCCCACAAAGATGCATTTTGTTATATTAGCTGAATATTTACATTCAAATCATGGGAAAAGCTTTATTTTTTTTTTAGTGGATGTTGCCTTTTCCAGATATCCGTATGGTAACAGTTCATTGTGGATGGAGTTCAGATCCTTGTACAGTGACTAAAGAGGTTACTGATGCTTTGTGTGTTGACAGTCGGGTTAGCAGTTTTAGCCAGTTCCAGTGCGTTATTGATAAGCAGCAGAGCACAAGCTTGGTCCTCCAAATACTACTTTAGATCATAACTATGTTGCTAATCAGGTTTTCAATAGTGGAAAGATTTTCCAGTGTAAATAGTCACTGTTCCCTCACGTGTTTTGTATTAAAGTAATGGGAAGTTGGTGGACAATGAAAGTTTGAAAATCAAGATAATACGTATATTACTAAGTGGATTGTAAAGGTTATCCTTTCCTCTTTAAAAAGTTTATCTTTGTTGCTTAGGCAATGTTAACGATAAAGAAGTATTATTTTTCGCTTTCTGTTGCTTTTATGCATTGTGTCACTCATTAATGCTGTCCTTCCTTGTGGTATTTCTAGACTTCCAATCCTATTGATGTTGCAGCCAGACCTGGAACTGTCCCACATACCCTTCTACAGAAAGATCCACGGGTCTGTAGAAAATGTTATATTTTTCTAAAGTAAAGCTATTCCTCCTGAAAACCTTTAATGGTAGAGGTACCATCTTCCGTGTGTCCAAATTTACATCCTAACACTGAAGCTTAGTCTGAACTAAACTGGAGAAGTTATACGAGAACAGTTTAAATCCTGATCCTTACTTCTGTTCCTCATTAGCAAAAGCAAACAGATACTATGCTATGGAAGAGCTCTTTCCTTGCTGTCAGCAGGCATCCGCACAAGCCCAGGGGTAAAGGCATAAAAGTCCAATTCAACATAGAAATGTACAAACCTCTTCAAGATTTGTGTTTAAACTCTGTAATTGTTTTTAATGTGGGTAATGACAGTTATTCCCTTGGTTACTGTATCATTGATTGCACTAGTGAAATACAGATGCACTTTATTGATCACTTGGCGCCTCCGGATTTTTGAGTTCTAGCGTATGTGAATAGCATTCATTGTCTCAGCGCTTTGCCTTTTAACCTTTTTCTGTTCTTTCCAAATGCCCATGGGTTGTTGCGTGTTTGAATTAATATACACTGTTTGCAATGAGGAACATCATGCAGTCATATTTTTAGCAGAACTCTCTGACAAAAGCAATGGGGAACTCTCCATGAAAATCCATGTTGGGGTACAGCTCAACTTTTAAGTACAGCAGAGCTATTTTCTTTGGGTTATGCCAAGTACCAGTACTTTGGTTTGCTCTGAATTGGTGCTGCCGTTGAGCTTTATACCAAAAGGAACCATGTTTTTTCGTTTCTGTTTATTCCATCTAATTGAAAAGATAACTAGAGCCTCCCACCATTAAGTCATTTAGCTTTATGCTCCCTTTCAACTTGTCGTGTAGTTTCGATTATTTCAGGATGATGTATTGTGCCATCACTGAGTCTGCAAAGTACCTCTTACGCCTATAAATCTCCTTTAGTATTGCATTTAAAAAAAGAAAATCCAAAACAAATGAGAAATATCCAATAAATTGAATTTATTTTCCAGCATTAATTGATGAAATGTGAGCAAAAAAGGAGAATAAGAAAATAATCTACCTCAAATTACCAACATCTGTTGCAATGTGAAAAACATTTAAGGCAAAGCCAATTTGTGCCAGAGAACACATCAGGCAAGCAGGCAGTCAGTAATGGCTATTCGAACGTACAAGTCAAAGACCTAACGCCATAGCCATTGAGCGGACACAGTCACTGGTTTGCAGGGGCACGTCTGAAACACCATTCCAGCCCGTTCCAACCCAATTCGTGGGATCGAGCCTGTGAAAAAGTGGCCCTGTCCACTCACTATCCAGTCTTCTCATGAGCTGAGCAGCTTTGAAAGATGAGAACAGAAGTTTGCCCAAAGGATATATCTGTGTTTTTCTTCAGAGTACTTAACCAGCCATTTTTGTAGCATTAAATCAACAAATTAATGATGATGCCAGAGGACAGAGCGCTCTGTGTGAGGCTTGTTTAGTTGCTTGTCAACACTTAGGTACAACAGCCATGGGGGGAGGGAGACCGGGTTGAATACGGAGGCTAAGGACTAATTATTATCCGAAAGGGCTTCATTTGAAAGTAAAATTACACATTTTAATTTCATCTCTTAATGAAGCAATACAAATTTGTTAATTAGAGCAATTGTTTGAGTGACAGGCATGTAACCAAGCTGTCATTTCTTCTTCACAGTTGACAGATCCGTTCAGGCCCATGTTGAGGGTAAGAAATCTTCTTGTGATACAGTTTGTCAAGCTCATCTCGGTCCCCACCGGGTTAAAGCAGCAGACTAATTCTAAAGCAGTGCCATGTTTCATCTTGGGTATTTTACACCGTGTTTGCTGAGCAGCATGGTCAGTTCTTCTTTGCATGCATCCGGTGGTCACTTGAAGAAAATACACAGTTTCAAAGTTGGAAGTTTTCTGTTCTTCTCGTGCAACCCCCTAGCATGAATACTAGAGGTTAAATACTGATAATCCTTCTATTGTGCTGGCTTACAAGGTTTCTGAGCCAAATCCTACAGACCTACCCTGGCAGTGATCCCTTGTCATTTCACTGCAGACGGAACGATTTCGCTTTTTATTATTTACTGTGTGTTTTCAGTGTTATTCAGTATGGTACTTCCTACCCAAGTATCTTACTGTCAAGTATAGACAGACAATCCACTTCAAACACAGAATATTTTAGAAATAAGGATCAAAAGACCCAGTCTTTCAGTGATCCAAAAGGGTTTTTTGTTCATTTTTCAATGTGTTCAATGTGTCCAATATTTTGATCGTACTGCCCAAGTGAACTCTAACTAGTAAAAACATCAGCACAGCCAGTTGCTGTGGATAAGCAAAAGGCTTGAGTTCAGGGGAGTATTTGTGTGAGATGGGTTTTTTTTTTTTGTGTTTTTTAGTCATTGCTTGATACACACCTGGAAATAGAAGGCAGACCTTATGCCATAGTTTGTGAAACATTTAAGTTGCCAGTAGCTTGAGGAGCTTCTTGAATTCTTGTGATTATTTTTAAATCTGCAGAAATCATTAGTTGTGTAGTTAACTATAGACTCCTAAATAACAAAATTGGAGAAAGTATATCCTGAATGAGTCTTTTTCGACAAGATTCCCAGATGTCCTGGAAATGGAGTACAAAATCAACAAGGAAACTGAAATAGCACTCTCTGGTTCTTTCCTCCCTCTCTCCTGCCCATGACTTAAAATCATGGTAACAGGAAGGATGCAAAGAGCCTTCCCAAACAGAGTGAATTGACTGGCCTCCAATTTTTTCAGTATATTTATGAGCCAAAGTTTTGGAGGTACAGACCAGCGATCATACGAGGGAGTCGGATTAATTTTGAAAACCAGAGTGATCTTTTAAAGTGCTTTCATTTTCATCTTTTGGTGGAAAGGCTAGTCTTAGAATGGCTGCACTTTTGGAAATTAACTCAATATACAGTTGTGAAGCAATCCAGCTATGCAGAGCAGCTGCTAACTGGGAGACAGTTTCACTGATTTCGGCAACACAAGCTGCATTCTCAGCCAGTGGCATCAGAAGATTGCAAGAGTGTGTAAAGCCTGAGCATGGGTTTATTTGGAGAGGAGAGTGACGAGGAGCGTTCCTGGGTATCCAGATAAACTTCTTAGCAAGGGACAAACTCTTTGCATTTCTGTTTTCCCAAGAGGATGGAGGGGGAAGGCACTGAAGGGAGACCTTTTGCTTTCAGTTGTCTTGGTGTGGGGAATCCCCTAGACCAAAACAGACTGGGCTAACAGTTGGCAAGAGTTGCTATAACTAGAATAAAGCGCCACAGGTTTTTGAAAGTTACTGATGCGTGTTGTATCCCTTTGTTTTTTCCAGAAACCTGGAAAGTGGTGTGCTATGCATGTTCACATCGCCTGGCAGATATACCATCACCAACAGAAAGTCAAGGTCAGTCTTCTGGGCACGCCTGCATTTCAGATGAATTGCACAGTGCAAACCTGTGAGAGGAAGAGTTTGCCCCTCGCTGTTAGCAGTTCTATGCCATGGCTAATGCCTTGTTAAAGTAACCATATGTAGCATTATAGTATAACCTTCCATTTCATAGTGATGGTGTATCGGAATTAAAAACCTAAAGGAAGAGTCTCAAAAGAATGTCTGCGATGCCACGGAGCAAGGACACCAGATCTTAGGCGATAACAACCGGTTTGTAGCTAGGAAGAGCTAAATGGGTGTACCTGTGAGCTACAACATTGCTTTTATTTATGGCTGAGGACACAAACATATCAAGATTAAATTTTTTTAAGTCTGGAGAAGCTAGGCACGTGTATCCCATTCCTCTTATTAATGTTCACGGACAGAAGAGGGCACAGGAAGATTTCTCCTGTCCCTACGATGTTTTATCAAATGCGGCTGCACAGGCTCCCATCAGTCTTTTTTCACAACCCATTTCATAGCTGGAGGTTGGCACCTGTACGTGTCTGGGCTGGTCAGGCAGACACAGCCTCTCGGATGAAGTAATGTTATCCAGACAGAGTCTTATTGCACCGAAGGTAAAGGGGTGGAAATCTTTTCTTTGTTATACATGCTTTGAGCCTTCAAGGGCAAGGGCCATGGCCAGTTTAGGCTCTCCTGAAACAGATGTCAGAGAAAAACAAGTAGTTTACTCATTTAATAGTTAGGGTATTTCCATTCTTACTTTAACTGTATTTTCATTGCACATGGACTTTGTGAAGAAGGTTTCTTTCCCTTTATAATATTTTCACTACACTTGTCACTGAAAAATTCTGTGTTGCTCCTGAAGTTTTTCAGTAAGTCAGGAAAGGTTGGTGTTCTTTACTGTTCATACTTGTACTTCAGGAGTCGATAGCTTGTGTTAGAAAGTAAAATTAACAAGGAGCCCATAGCACTTTGCAGTCTGTGTATGCAATTGACTTGTATAAGGTAGTGCTATAAGAATATGAAGATGTTGAACAGCTACTAAAACCTGCAGCTAATAGAGTTTAAAAATAACCCTTTTAAACAAGGTTGACAGGTTAATTTGCTGCAGTAGACATATCTCTCTTCTCTGCTTCCTTACGCTTCCCCTGCTAGTGATCTTCATTCATCTTCCCATTATCAAAAAAGACAAGATTATGGACCTAGAGAGTTATATGTCCTTTTTTTTATTTTATTGAAAAGGTATTTTCTTGAAATGAAATTATTATTCCCATGCTATCTATGTCCTTTGAATCTTCCTTGATTTGATATTCAGAGAGAGGTCAGACTGGTGTATTTATAACTCATAGTAAATGCCATTTTCATGCGGCCATTTCTTTTACCTAATACTTTTCTTTCCTGCATGTTAAAAAACAGGAATAAAGCCCAGAAGTACAGGAAAGGATGTTACTTGACTTTTTGAGGCTGTGCGTGATGATAATTTCAGGAACAATTAGGAAATGTATTTTACTATCTCAGTTCAGTCAAAAAATTAGGTACGGTCTACAGTCATTAAGGCAAGTTGGTTTATGTCCCCGTGGGCTGTCAGACTCCTGCACGGGAATGAAGTCCTTCCCTCTGCATGTGACCACGAAGTGTGAAATCTCTGGCTGAAGGCTTATACAGAACGATTTCTCCTTCTGGCCCAAGGTTGTGAAGGTGCCTTTTCTTCTGCACGAACCGAAGACGCTGCCTGACCGTAGAGCAGGAAATAAAATATTTTTACTCAGAGATTTCAAGTTTGCACGCAGTGCCACCAGACTGCTTGCAAAGTATGGAAGAATTGGTAACTGTCTGGCCCGCTAATAATTGCTTGCAGAGGGCAACAACAGACACTGAAGAAGCAAGCAAGATAGGAAACTTCAAAACACAGCCTTCCTGACCCCAGGAAAAATTGCATGCAGCTCTGTATGCTGTTTGCCTGCCTATACCGCTGCACCAAGACACAATTCAGACCTGTGTAACCTGTCTGCACACCCAGGGAATTCCTCAGATGAAGCCAGGGTTGCATACCAGCTCTGGGCACAAAGCAATTTTACACTCCTTCTTAGGCTGACCAGTGTGTTACTGGCCTGGATTCAAGAGAGAATTTATGCTCCGTAATTGGCCCTCTCTCTTGTAGGAAAGGCCTTATGGCCCGATCTAACATGCCATGAAATTAGTGCAGACATTTACGTCGATTTTAGTGGGCCTTGAGTTAAGGTGTTACACATTTGTTGGACTTCAAATACATTCATAAGGATTATCATCAAGCGGGGTGCTCTCCTGAACAGCAACTGGGGATAAAATAAATGATCGATTTTCTTTGGTACTATTTTAAAGTAAACCAACACATTCAAAATTCTTTTAACACATCCATGACATTCAGACACGAGATTTTTTCGTTATTAGAACAACACCGTTCATATGGCTGCAGTGAAAGTTTTAGCCAGCTTTTGCTATTCTGAGTAATGCCTGTCAGAGGTTTATAACTTGGTTGTTAAAAAGAAGAATAAAGAGAGTTCACCATATAAAAATCTGGCACGCAGGCTTCAACTGAGGCATTTGTATTTTCTGAAGTTTTTTTAATTATTAATGCACTACAGTGTTACTTCCTTAAAAGGCATGACCTTAGCTTGGCCATTTTCCATTTCAATATTCTTGCGAGCTATTATCTCAAAACATTGATAAAGCCTTTTTTTTTTTTTTTGCCCCCCCTTTTTTTTTTTGTTCTCGTAGCAACATAGACATGTTACTAGCACTTGAAAAACAGCTACTAGGCATGCACGTTAACTTGGTCATAACTTTTTAATATGCAAATTTATATCATTGTAATAGTCTGTACTCTGAGCTGGCACAGTATTAAATACTGATTTATAAAGCATAACATGCTGCAGAATTACTGTTAAGATCTACTGGTTCAGTGTTACACATCTGTAAATCCTTTCGGCTGACCTGCACAGTTAATCAGCAATCTGTGTTTAGGGAGTTCTGGCAGCACGGGTAATTGGGAATTTGGTTTTCCTCTTCATTTTACGAAGCTATTGAAGGTAGGGATCACTGAAACGAGTACATGGCACAAAGAAGAGCCCATCCTTCATCCACTTACCATTTACGATACATCTACCTCAGCAAATTTACCTTAAAAAAGAAAGTCTGCTGATTGTAATACCATGTAAATAAAGACAGCGACATACAGTGCTTTGAATTTGGACTGCAAGCAGTCAAAATGGGACTTCAGTTCTTTAGACTCAAATACTCTTCATCTGTAATTTGATTCATTTTAGCCCCTAGCTTGCTCAGTTGCAGTCTGAGAGGCACTGAAAGATACACTGCATCAAGTGTTTCTAGATTGCAGCTTCGCATTTAAAATTAATGGTTCTGGTGTCCATTGACTTGTCTCTGCCGTAACTGTCTGGCAAGGGATTCCTGCAGTGGGAAGAGGGTCAGCTGGCAGCTCTGCCTCCTACAGTTGATGCTTTCACCCAGCTTTTAACATGCCTGCCCACCTGGGATCAGGTCCAAACTAACAGTTCTCTTTGGCTTTGCTTTTATTATTTTAAGACAGACCTATTCTTACAACTAAGCAAGTGTCTGAGGCCTCTTCAAAGATTTTTATGTTTGTTCTTTAAGTCAGGTCTGTGCTGAAATGCTTTGCTCCAAAGGGATGGATGTGAGCATGGGTGAAAACACTGTTGAAATCTGCGGGAAATGTGCATCAGGAGCCTGAGATTTTCTCTCTCTGCCTTAGATCCCCCTTCCAGGAGAACAGTTGTGCACCTATGCTCGGGGTCCCCAAAACTAATATTCTTGTTAAAACATCAGTTAGTATGAATAAATTGCTATACCCACATCATTCTGAAAGTGCCTTTTACGGCTATCTTTTAGGACAGTCTCTTCCAAATCCTGTTTTTACATTTCAGAAACAGATGCAGTCTGATCCGCACAAGCTGGACTTTGGCCTGAAACCTGAATTTCTGAGCAGGCCACCAGGCCCCAGCCTTTTTGGAGCCATCCACCACCCCCATGACCTGGCCCGGCCCTCGACTCTCTTCTCCACAGCCAGTGAGTACTGAGAAATGAAATCTCCTTCTTGTGGCATGCTCATTAAAATGCTAATCCTTGCCATATTAAAAGGAAATTTCCCATATGCTTTGGCTTATGAACTCTCTGCAAGACATGCCAGGGGCTATTAGTCTATTTGATAAATATTTTAAAATTACTCCATATGCTTTTAGAAAAGCCCAACCTGCTGAAATGCCATACAGGTAGTAAATGGAGGAACGTTTCTTCGTACAGTGATGTCCAATGCATCATGGAGATGACAGGTTGGAAATATGCTGTATTTTACATGCTCCTTTTTTTTTCCGTACTGAAACATTCCCCCACCCCCCACCCCTTATACTCTAACTGGGAATTTCTGTTTAGAAAAGCAGCTGCTACTTGCATAGGATCCTGACCTGAGAGCCCCCGCCCAGCGTACAGCAATCTCTGCTCACATGAGCTGCCGTTTATTAAATGATAGTCAAGCTCAGAGCACAGTTAGTCCTTTTCTGAGCTTTTGTTAGGAATTCACCCCTTTTGCTTTGTTTTGGCAGGTGGGGGTCATCCAGCCGGCACCCCTTTCGGCCCACCACCTCACCACAGCAACTTTCTCAATCCAGCTGCTCACTTAGGTAAGTTCTCTCTGCAACTAACTAACGGTGAATACAACTCAGAAGTAACACACATTGACCAATGAGATGTCAAGGTTGATGACAACCATCAACCATTGATTAAAGGTTGCCCGCGTGGAGACTCTTTGAGTATCCTGCCTACTTAACCTTTACAAATTGTGCATTTTAGCCATTTAATTTTAGTCATTACCCAAGTCGCAGTTCTAAATACACATAATAGTATCACTGACAGCATGTTTTGAAATTCTTCTGAAAACAGTCTGGACGTTAGAGGAGCGGAGTGACAGGGCTGGTTAGGTTTCACTGTAGTCATGTTTATAACCAGTCCAAAAAAATGCCTTAGGGTTAAGGCTTCGGTTCATAGAGGTGTTTCATTTCCTAACTCCTGCTTAGATGTCTGCTTTTCCATTTAAGTGAGTGGGAAATATATCCTTCAGATCTTGTGATCTGGCCTCGGATTTGTCTGTTACTGAAAATTAGTGAATACGCATTTAAAAATGGAACCACCCAAGTTACCAAATGATGCTATTTCCCTTCTAGCTTACTGATGTTGTAAGAAGGTGGTCTGCTGCCTACAGGAGCATCCGAGATTGAGACTCTAAACTGGCATTTTATTTTGCATAGGGAAGGATTTGGGAGGGTCACCAAATTGATAGAGCAGGCTCACGATGTAGGTTTATCGTTCTGCACTTAGCTGCCTGTAGAAAACGCTAGGTTTGGTCTTCCTTTTCGCTTTGCTGGTATTTATCAGTAGTTTCGTCAAAATCATTAGACTTCTCCAAAGTAAAGCGAGAGGAGAATTTTTTTCGTACAACTTACTTAGAGTCTGTATGCATTAACTACTAAAAAAAAGTACTCCAATATTTTTCAGTCCACACTAGTTTTTCGTATAGTATTAGCCATAAATATCAAGAGAATTACAAAACGTTCAAGTCAGCATGACATATCAGCGTAATAGGACATTTTATTTATATCCTGGCTATGGTTTAGGAGACATGGCCTGAAGGGTTTTGGAGCACAGTTGCCAGAGTTAATAATAGTCTTGCTAGCCAGGGACATTTCCTGAGAAAGACCACGGAATTGAATTAGAAGGGAATAAAAGGAAATAAAAATGGAGATGTTTGCAGGTTTTAAATGAAGTAGCTACTTATGCAGAAGTACAGGCCTCAATATCATGTATATTTTAACATCTTGTTTTACTTTGAAAAGGAAGTTTTTCTAGTAAGATGATCCCATGCACGCTGTCATTGGGGAAAAAAAGAAGGTTTTTTATGTCCCACCCCCTCACAATCACTGCTGTGTTGTGGGAGGATGATGTTCAACTACTGATGGGCACAGACTGAGCTTTCATGCAGACGTAATGCAGTTGGATAACACGCTAATGCTTTATCATAATTACCAACATGCCAGTGAGCTTCAGCTGTTTCCGTTGGTTTGCAGAGCCTTTCAATCGACCGGCTTCCTTCAGCGGTCTCACTGCAGTGGGTAGTAACGCCTTCGGGGGACTCGGGAACCCGACAGTTAGTGAGTAACCTCTTTGTTTATGAATTATTCTTTGCTGTGTAATTCAGAATATTGAGTGATGGTGACTGTTTGCTGTCTTTTTTACTAGTTGCTAAGACCATGTACCACTAAGAGATGGGAATTTGAAAAGCAACCTTTTTCATCTAAATAACATAATTTCTTAGTCATCAGTAAATTATTTTCTGTTAGTTACTTAGTAGTTTGGGTTCAACATAGTGCTAAATGTCACCATTACATTGTTCAGTAAAAAAAAAAATAATACAGAACCGATGAGTCTAAGGAGTTTGTGAAATTTCTCATGGTTTTGTTGCATGTTCAAAAATAGTTAACGTGTGCAGCATCCCTAGCTGTGGATGGGAACATTTTTTTTTTTTTTTTCCTTTCTCACCAGTAATCCAGGACATGTGCCTGGAAAAGATCACTAACCTGCATTTATTTGTCCAGGATCATCAACATTTCTCTAGATTTGGCCAGTCACAAAAGATCATCCTTTTAAAAATCACTCTCTTTCTCCATACTTCAAATCTGGCATGATTTTGGTCACATATTACTTTACTTTGGTTCAGGATCAAATGCAACAAGTTCCATTATTTATAGTCCATATAATAGTCATTTCCTGATGTCTCCAAAATAGTTGGAATAAGGATCATTGTCACTTCTATCTTACTACTTCATTCCTCGTCAATTTTATCCACAGCATTTCCCTTTCCAATTAAAACAGCTGTCAGATGCCTGCCCATTTTTAGGAATGAGACCCTCTAATGAATCTCTGTTAATTTCCTTTCCTTTTCCAGCTCCCAATAATATGTATTCATTTTAACTCTGAGTGCTGTAAAAGTTTTTTTGGTAAGTACCTTCACTAGAGCATACCTTTTTCTTAAACCTTTTTGTTTTCCACTTCACCATTTCAGCACCCAACTCAATGTTCGGCCACAAGGATGGCCCCAGTATGCAGAGCTTTAGCAACCCTCACGAGCCCTGGAACCGACTGCACCGAACTCCTCCTTCGTTCCCGACCCCTCCGCCCTGGCTGAAGCCAGGAGAGCTGGAGCGCAGTTCATCTGCTGCAGCTCATGACAGAGATAGAGATGTAGATAAACGAGACTCATCTGTTAGTAAAGATGACAAAGAAAGGTACGAAAGAACACTTCCAAGAATTGTCTAGTTCAAAGCTTGGGGCTCTGTTCCGCTTTTAACCCTTCCCAGCCTGGCACATTGTTAAACCAGAGCTTCAGTAGAGGGACACCTGGAGAGCTGACACCATTGCTGCCTACGACGCGAGGCACTACGGAAGATGCAGGTTTCTAACTCGGGTGTTTCCTACTGCATCTGTTTCTCTTCCCACTTGCACCGCACTTCATCAGAAGGAGCTTTGCTGGTGCAGAGTTCAGGCAGTGTCAAGTGAGAACAGAATCAGACCCACACACTCGGTTACCTTGCTGGTCACATTTTCATAGGTGTTTTGAAGACTTAACGTGTAGAAAGGTGCCTGACAGGATGAAAAAAAGGATTACAAAGTCCATCAGACGCATATCTGCACCTTTGAATACTTAAATAACTTTGTAAATCGGACCTTGTCTGCAAAGCAAATAATGCTGCCTCCCTCCTCAGAAATGGACTGACCAGAGGGACCACTGATAAAGTTGTAAAACTATAACACTATAAAATGCACCGGGTATGTCATGTTCCAATACCACAGTAAGTTTCAGTGCATGCAGTTCATTAAATCAACCTTAATTCCCCTCAAAAAAGCCATGCACACATGCACTGCTGTTACACACCTTCAAGCACAGTTTTTATTCAGTGTTTTACATGGACTTGCACGCTAACATGTCCAGGCTGGGAAGGGTTAATGAAAGTAAAACCTGGTCATATTTTTTTGTCAGGACTGTTCCCATTATACAGTTAACTCAGTAACAATTCCTCTTAACATTTAAGTACCAAATTGAAAGAATTTGCCATTCAGCAAGTGTCATGCCTTCCTTGAAAAATGTAGAGAGGATGATATCAGCTTTTTCAGTTGTGGCTTAATGGCTTTCCTGTTAAGTTTGCACATTACTTTACTACATAATGGCTATTTGTTTCTAATTTTTTAACATAAAAGAATATTTAGGAGTTGTGCTTTTCTGACTTCTCTGTCACTAACCCAAATATACGCATTAGTAGCCTTTTCTAAAAGAAGTTATGCTAACACATTAGATATTCTAAAAATACATTTAAGAGTTTTTCTATGTTATTGTAAAATGTGAAGAGCGAGTCAAACTACAGATCTTTTCACCTACATTTTCCATTTGGAATATTTTCTGTTTGGTAGCATAGCTTCATTATTTTCATGTCTGGTGTTAATGCTTCAAAATAAATTGCTGTTACAAATTGGGGATTCTGTCCTGCAAAATGCTTAAGCATGTGAGTAACTTTACTGGCTTGAATGGCAAAGCATTTTAGTTACTAATGATACGGGTAGTCTTTAGAATTATGTGATTATTTCAGTTGCTGTTTTGTTGTTTTCTTATGAAGTTTGCTGAAGAAAATCCCTTTAAGAAATACATTCCTTGCAAGCTGCTTTGGCATTGCCTGAACTCCATATCATAGCTCAGAACATATTTATTTTCAGTAATTTGAGAGCTTAAAAGTAAGCGTCATTCATACTTCATACTTCTGCACAATTATGGCTACCAGTTTAGTACAATAATGTTTTTGCCGATCTAGTGTCGCTGTGCATCCATCTGTGTGGTTTTGAAGAGTTCTACTTTGCAGCATGCTCACACTGTTGCCTGTAGGAGAAGATGCTGAGAATCCCTTCCTGGAGACGTGCTCCCTATGTAGATAATGTCTGGAGTAGTTTGTGAGCCTCTCATACCTATTCTTTTACCTTCAGTGGCACCCAGCGGGGTGAGGATGTAGCCCTGCTTTCTAGTTGAGGTCCCAATCTCTGTTACCTATTTTAAGCTAATTTGCCCAAACAGGAAGAACTGGGAATCGTGCCCGGAGGTATGATATCATCTCAAAATCATCCTGTCATCAAGGGTCTAACTTTATCAGCCCCCAAATGGGCCGTCTAGCCCAAAGCATTCATCTAGATTTCTTCTGTTTTCAGTGGAAAGGTACCTCAGAGGTACCTCTTAGCTTGGCTCTTCCTCATCTAAGATCAGTGTTAGAGTGGGGTGCAATGAATCACTGGTCACTCTTCTTGGATAAGCTGTATGGCCAGTGTACCGCAGCCCCCTCCCAGCTAGACTGAGATAAGGTAAATCCCTCAAGATGCCTAGATAATATTAAACTACAATCTGTGAACCTTTCCTAGGTGCAGAGCTGGCTGGGGAGTTACACTGCAATGTCCTGATATGGTGCCCACTTTCTCCTGGAACATCGTTTGCAGTTGTGGAGGTTTTTTTGTTTTAAGGACTCTGTTACTCCAGCCCAGCATTAGAAAAAAAATCAGTAAAAATAGCTGTTGTGAAAAATAGGATTTGTTCCTTCTCAGGCGTATTTTGTTTAAAAGATGTCACTGAGCAATTCTATTCTAATAATGACATTTAAGTGTATGTATATAACATTAAAAAAAAAAAACAAACCAAGAATCTGTTGATCTTTTTGTCAACATAAATGAGGCAAAGTACTTGGCATACTCAGTATCTTTCAGTGTAGCATACAGCCTCAAAACATACCTTACTTAGTAATAAGTTCAGTTGAGAACATGATCCATGATCTTAAGTTTCTTCTTTATGGAGACAGAGGCTTAGAGCTGTTCCCGTATTATTAACCTAAGGAGCCCTTGACAGATCTGAGGATAAAAAATTATTCCCTCTCTGACCACTGAACTACATGTAGTTCACTTAAGTGAGCTATATAATCAATAGCCTCTTGAGATAATACCGTCACTGTAATTGAACAGGATGAAATTGGCAAAGGAATATGTTATTTTGGTTGCACATATATTTTTCTTTAGTTACAGAAAATGCCTGTTATTTTCTCTAAATTTTATGCATAATTTAAAATACATCAATTATATATAAAATTGATTAAATATCAGCAAAAGGACTCAATGAGCTCTCCTAGTGAAATAAAACAATTAAGGGTGCCCTCTGAACTAGTCCCATGAGCAAAGTAAATGGAAGACTGGGTAATTGCAGAGTCCACAAGCCAGTGGTTTCCCAGCAAAGTAAAAGAACCAAGTCTTCACGTTGAGAAGCCTTCACTGGAGTGCCTTGACTTGGTCTCACTGTGTCCAAATCTGGGAGCTGTTAAATCAAATGCCTCAACTTTTGGTGGAAAGCAAGGGGAGGGAAATTAGAGTCAGGACACAATTTCCAGACCGTTTAGGGCACAGTCAATCAAAGCAGAACCTGATACCAAGGAGCTAATTGGTAGTCAGTGCAGACTAGGCAGTTCTGGTATCAAATGCTCCAACTCATAAATGTTTTCTAGCGGTCACGTTCTGGACTCTCTGAGGTCTCTCAGACATGGCCCATAAAGTGACAGTTTCAACAGTTCAGTCTAGACTCAGCAAAAGATGCATCTGGTGAGGTTACAATAATGAGTCTCCTTTTGAAAGATATTTTTGCTGCAGTTGCTGCAGTTTCACCATCCAAAAGTACCTACAGGTAGAAATCTTACGCAGTTCAGCTCAGCAAAAAAGCAGGTAGCAGAAATTGTATAGCAGAAATTGTATAGCTGAAGGAGCAAGCCCTTCAGCCAGCCGGTATGGCTCGTCTTGTTCAGAGTGAGTTTCAACCTGCTGTCCTCATCCAAGCGTGTTCAGGTTGCACTTTGCTAAGCAGAGACTGCAGCACCCAAAGGAGAACATGTAAATGGGAGCTGGTTGGGACTTCAGAGGGCCTCACTGCTTATCCCTCACTTTCGCCTTTAACAACACATTGTCCATCACCCCGCATGGAACAGAATTTCCATGCTCAGCAAACAGCACGTGTCCAACACTGAATACCTGGAGCTGTCTTTATGGAAAGACTCCAACTCAGAGATCAATTGAAACTAGTGAGAGGTTAAAATCATTGGAACTGAGGAATTAGATTTACCTTATGAATTTGATTCATTTTAAATAGGAAGGCTTTTCCACTTAGTGTTGCCTGTAACAACTCCTGGTCAACACTGCTTCCAGAAAATAGTTGGTACAGGATCCATTCACATACTTAGGTTTTTGTCCACTGCCAGACAATTATTCTCTCATCTTTTGTGCAACATAAATAGGTTTGAAAGATGGAATGAATTCACAGTATTTCGAGACTTACTGGCATTGGCAGGGAAATGCATTGGCCCTGTCCCTGCTCTGCTTGCTCTACCCTAGAAATGGGAAAGGATTGGTAATCTGAAGAGCAACTGACTCCAGAGAGATGATACTTTCAGAGCTAGCCTGACTGATGGGCATATAGCGTAGACTGATCTCTGCTGAGGAAGACGGCGCATAATCTGTGCATGATGGCCGCCTCTATTAAAACACCTGCACTGAGGTTCATTGCACACTTACAGAAGTGCCTACCTGTGCAGAGACATGGATTGTCTCCATCAGTACTGGTGTCTTGATAGGTTTTTGTTTTCAATTTTAAGAAGTAAATTGAATTGTGAGAAGTAAATTGAAAAGCTAGAAGATTGAAGAGAATAGACATAAGAAATTAATAACGTACATAGGTCTAGAAATTTTTTAAAAAGTCAGTTGAACAAAATGTCATCTATTTTCCCAAATTCTTAATAGAAGAAGCAGGTAAAATACTATTAACCATGTAATTTGGATTTAACTGTCTCACTTTTTTTAGATGAAATGAGTATGTTTTTATTTTTCCCTCTTCTTTGCAAACAATTGAGGCCATTGTCTTAGAAATATGTGTACTACAGCTAGATTCCCTTGGGAGCCTTTTGTGGACTTCAGTGTTTGAAATCTCAATCAGATCTCGCACAAAGCAGCTTCAGGGATCTTCTCCTGGGTGGAGATAATAGAATAGGCCTAGTTTAGAGATGGGATGTTCTTCTGGTGTTTTGGGTGTGCAAAAGGAACAGTGGATTTAATGGTGCATGTTACTAGCTTTCTGCAAAGCAACGAGTATGAAGTCAGACACCCTAGATGCTTTTTTATTTGCAGAGTTTCTCATGCCTTCATTTTTACGCTTCTCTTTCTTCTAGGGAGAGCATTGAGAAAAGACACTCCAGCCATCCTTCGCCAGCACCTATCCATCCAGTAAACTCCCTCGGACATAATCGCAGCTCAAATGAGCAGATCAGGAGCCATCTGAATCCCGAGGTTCGAGAAAAAGAGAAACCCAAAGAACGAGAGAGGGATCACTCCGAATCTCGGAAGGAAATTAATGTTGAAGAGCACAAGGTGAAGGACAACTATATTTCGGAGAAGGAAGGCCTGAGCCATGAAAGCCGAGTGGTGGAAGAGTCTAAGCAAATGCCCAGGGTTCCTTCACCCTATGCTAGGCCCCCTGTTGTGGAGAGCAACAGGCCTAATAGTACTTCAAACCGTGAGGCTGAGAGGAAGAATGAGCCGGCATATGATAATCCGAAGAAAAGCAATGAAGTCAAAGTGAAGGAGGAGCGAAAGGAAGACCATGATGTTCAACCTGAGGGACCTCAGACTCATAGGTCATCTGATCAGCCACCACCTATATCTACATCTAACGTCCATCCAAGTCCTTTAGTGTCTATGCCCATGACTGTAGGTGTAACTGGTATACATCACATGAACAGCATCAGTGGCCTGGATAGGACTCGCATGATGACCCCTTTTATGGGAATTAGCCCAATTCCTGGTGGAGAACGTTTCCCCTATCCTTCTTTCCACTGGGATCCAATGAGAGATCCCTTAAGAGATCCTTACAGAGAGCTAGATATTCATCGGAGAGACCCCCTGGGCAGAGACTTTTTGCTAAGAAATGACCCCCTTCATCGTCTTTCTGCGCCAAGATTATATGAAGCGGACAGGTCATTCAGGGATCGGGAACCCCACGACTACAATCACCACCACCATCACCACCACCCTCTCTCTGTTGACCCTCGACGTGAGCATGAGAGGGGCAACCACTTGGATGATAGGGAGCGGTTGCACATGCTCAGAGAGGACTATGAACATGCACGCCTGCACTCAGTTCACCCTGCCGCCTTGGATGGGCACCTGCCTCACCCAAGCCTAATCACGCCAGGACTTCCTAGCATGCACTACCCCAGAGTCAGTCCCCCGACGGGACACCAAAATGGCATCCTCAATAAAACTCCCCCCACAGCAGCTCTCAGTGCCCCTCCACCTCTTATTTCTACTCTGGGACCTCGGCCTGGGTCTCCCAGAAGGACTACTCCTCTGTCAACAGAGATGAGAGAGAGGCCTCCTTCTCACACCCTCAAGGACATTGAAGCTCGATAAGCAGAGTGAGAATAAATAAAAACGAGAGAAAGAGGGACAGAACGTTGTAAATGAACATAGTATAAAGACCTTCTTACTAGTCATTGATACAGACTGGGGATGTGACCCACTGTACAATATGTATAGACCTGAGTGCAAAGATTTTGAAATGGTTTTTTTGTATATTGTATGTTGAAATTTTCCAGATCTTTTAGCCAAGTCCATATGTTCCTCGTGTCTCCTACTCTATTTTATTTCTAGTTTAAAAATTTCAAAATTTGAACTGAAGAACAAGACATTAATCTGAATGATTTGACTAGAAACAAACCACCACCAATATCAACCATACAAAGCTCTTTCAGACCAGAAGTGAAGACAATTGTAGATATTTATGTAAAAAGATTGCTTCATGGGTTAATGGTTCATATATGCAAAAAGGGTAAGATGAAAGCTTTACTTTGTACAAATGTAAATAGATAAAATTAAGTAACATAATACATTAATACTTCTTAAACTGTGCTATTTGCAAACTTAATATTGATCAACACAGTCTGCTTATGCTGTGTTACATATATTGTTATAGACAGCTAAACCCCTTCAACTATGCAATGAATTTTAAGGCTTTTCACAAAAGCCTTTATAACTCAAAGGAGCCTTTTCAACACACAACATAACTAAAGTCATATTTTCCCTGAACAAGCTCATCTGTAATGGAAACCTATTTCTCTTGCTTGTTTTGATGAAGAAACAGCCCATTAGAAGTGTAGTTTTCTGTCTGAACCCCTGCATCAAGATGCTGACGTTACTGTAGCTCATGTATTCCTTAGAACGCATCAGGGTTAGCGATCTGTAATCACTGATACTGTAGTCATGATAGATTGGTTTTCAGTCACGTTAATCTGGGCTAAACAGAGTAATAATCAAATGCTGGATATTTTCCAGAACTTTCGTCACTTAACGTGTCAAATTTATTTTTGGAAGAACATCTGCTTATAGCCATTCGTGTCTGTTTTTATTGCCAGTGTGTCATTTTTCTCTGTACACACACTTTTTTTTTTTTTGTTAAGTGATTTTTAGCTACATTGGAACAAATCCTACAAGAAAGCTAATACTTTTCTAAATGATGGATATGTTTTCACTGTGGATCAGTAGTTTCATTAATGAACTCCAATGCAGATTTCATAATGCAATTTATTGTATTTCAGTTGGTAATAAAGTCTGTGAATAGTTAACAGGTCAGCCTTGTTGTTCCCTAATCATAGAAGACATGAAATAACATGAAGAACATGGTCCTTTTTAAAAATATGCATCAATCTTCTGAAATCTGTCTTTTCATAACACACTTTTTTATAACGCGTTAAGTTTCTTGTCTAAATATTTGGAGAGAATATGACTTTATCAGAGATAATTCAATATCTTGTCTACTGGACTGTAAAATATATGTATGAAATAAAATTAGTTCCATTGGTCTTCTAGTGTATTAAAGTGCTATCTGAAGTTGTTATCCTGTTTTGGCAAAAAAAAAAAAAAAAAGAAAAAAGTTAACTACAAACAGTTGTTTCTAATGATCAGAGATCTATTTTAGTAGTCAACTGAAGGTTTAGTTGTGAGCTTCAGATTTTGTGAACTCCAGATGTTGTGCAGTGGTTTTTTTTTTTTAAGAACAAAAGGAAAAATACAAAAAAAAACCCCAACCCTGAAGAATATGTACACTGGAACCGTAGTGGTAGTTTTCAGTATTGTAAAGAGATTGTTATATACGAACCTTTTTGCTGTTTATCCTGTATGTAATAAAGTCCTTTCTAGATCCTGTGTGAAAAGAAAAGTGAAGCGGCTCTCAATCTTCAGCATGTTTCCTCATCAGCGAAGACTTGTGTAATGTAAATTGTGCCATGTTATTAAAAAATGTGAACTAAACTGCTAGGTGCTTCTTTGTGTGGAGTACCCCATCGTTGCTATGGGGAAGAGATACTTTTTCCCAAGAGTGGGTTTTTGTTCAGAAAAAATAGCTATTAAAAATGTAAAGGAAATGGCAAGCTTTTATAAGCCATCTCATTAAAATTATTATACTAATCAGGAAAAAAGGAACAAAAAGGAGACCAGATCCTTGGCTTGTCCAGATTCTTTAAAATATAGTAAGACCCTACTTACATTAGCTTTTACTTAACTGACCAGTTGGTCTTTCAAGATAGTCCCGCACCTAAGTACGTGGCTGTATGCAAGCCTTTTTGTGAATTTGTGCAGTTCCACACAAGACAGTGGCATTTTACGAGTTTTCATCAGCTAAGAATATGGCTATCAGTTACTATGAACAATTTGTACATAAATATGTCCAATTTCTTGCAAATTGTTTAGTTCTTCATAGTACAGCTTTCATGGTGTCCTTTTTTGGAAAAAAAAAAATTAGCTCCTCATGAAACATGATTTCCAGGAGGATTTTTTTAGTTCAGGGATTTTTTTGTTGGGTTTTGTTGTTTGGTTTTTTTACAAGCTTGTTGCAAACACTTCAAAACCTTTATCCAGGTTACTTTGGCAGAGGTAAGCTGTGGCATTGACATTTGCTTTCTTGAGCAAGACTCAGGAAATCTTTCTTTCTCCTACCTCAATAATTGCCAGTTGTTTTGGTAAGCAATTAAATGTATGCAGCCATATATACCAGGTTGGTTTATATACCATATATACCATATATTTGGTTTTGTTTCTCTTCCGCCCTGTAGCGCTTCTGTCTGCATTCTACTCTTATTCCCATGTAAATCTGATGAAAGTGAAATTTCCCTGATTTTCAACCATGTAACTAAGAGAAAAGAATAGCCCTAAGTCTTTTTCTAAATCCAATTTTGTGTAAACTGTGCAGAATGTACAGTAGTAGCATAGTATGCAAAAAGACCTTTTTTTCTTTTTTCTGCGAGGAACCTGTATCTCAGTCTTCTGGATGCACATCATTAAAAACCGTCCAAGTTTCTGATGAAAACCAGTTACAGATGGCTGTAGAAGGATGAAAACTATTGGAGCAAGGTTGCACAGATACAGCGTGAGGGTCCCCATGAGAGAGGGTCTGATGAGAGCATCATCTTCCAGGCTCATCTCAGAGCAGTGTAATAGGAGTCCTAACAGCTTTGTCAGTGTCTTCAGGGGGAAGAAATGTGGTATCTGATTGTACAGACTATGATCCTTGTCCTCCCAGGTGCTGAGTGTACTCCTGCTGATGGTCCTTAATTCCCAATCAAGCCAATGAACCCTCACTCCCGGAGTCCCAGAAAGCACTGAGGCATTTCACTCCCTTTGAATTCAATACAATTTAAGTGGCTATATGCCTTTGAAGATCTGGGTGTCAGGTCTTCCTATAAGAGTGGTGATGCTCAGAGGAATATGCCTGAAAGCTGTAGTAAGAGATAAAACAAGATTTTTAATGCTTCTAAACTTTTTCAGATGCATTCATTGCTTTTCAGAAGTTTGATATAGGGACATTAGCTGGCAGGTATAGACAATCCTTTTAGCAGGGTTTTCCATTCAAGACATTTGTCTTAAATCTTCTATTTTTGAATCACTAGTAGTTAAGAAATCAAGTTCATGTAAAGACCGTGCCAAATACCACCTGTAGGAATGAAACGAGTCAGAAGGGTATTATTCTGTAGGGTGTGAGAGATTTGGATCACAGAAAACCCTGAGCTACTCTGCTTACAACACCCAAGACCTTTGCTTTGTGCTTTAAAGCTCCCACCTTCCCACACTCCAACTAGTTTTCTACTTAGCAGCTTCCTGTCGCCAGTTGAGATGCCAACTAAAGCAGTGTATAGAAAGTGATTCTTTGAAGGCAGTCATAACGTTTGTTCCCTGATACAACGTTCATCTTAGGCCGCACTTTGTCCCTTCTTTTTTAACCTTCTACATTGCCGCCTTTGTCTTTCTTTACTAAATATCTAGCTCAAACCTAGTTTTCTGCTATTGATACCTTACTGATACTCTCCTGCCTTTTTGCCAGTCACGTTCTCTTTCATGGCATATGATAGCTAAATCTATTATAGGCAGCAATAAACACTGCAGACAACTTTTTCCGAGAGCCATAGGCACTGTATATTTTTGTTCCTTTTTACCTTTGCCTGTATGAGCTCATGAAAATTTGTAGTCCTTGCTGGACTGGAAGATGGCAGGGGGGGAGGATTTTACTGAAAGTATTTTCATTTGCTGTGGCTGTGCCTTGTTAAGTAAATATTTAGCATGATTCTTGATAACTTGAACTCTAACTACTGCTTCACACATGCAGGTGACCTCTGCTGAAAGCCACCTGGGGCACTGGAACAAGGTAACAGACCGTTGGTTATATTCCATGTACAGAGGAGCTACTTGGCTTACTGCTTCTGTTTCTGGCAAGAAAGAAGAGCGAACTGTGGTTCAAACAATGACCAAAGACTCAAATTATACAGGGTTTTGTTACTCCCACGGTGACTCGGTTAAGTCTCACCTGGATAAACCAACTTGCTTCTTTGGACTCCAACTGCCATCTTTGGAGGCATACTCATCCATAGCTTCAGAAGGCGATTTGGAGCAGGATCCCAACTTAAATGGTCTGAATTGCCTTTTGAAGGTGACTCTTCCTTACCTCCAGATTGAGACTAGCCTCTAACTTAGCTGGTTCAGAGAAGTAAATGCAAATGAGCGGTGGGATTTTACAGTCTCATCAGATCTTCCTTCTTTTGCACTGTGAAGTACCAATCCTAGCCATTCCTTGTGTGAACCTCTTTGGGACACAGTCTGTCTCTTACTATGTGATTGCACTGTGCTTGGTGTCCTGATTGGGGCAAGTGAGCTTTTCTCACTGCTGCTATAACACAAAAAAAACCCTTTGGTAGTACTAAAGACCAGAGTGAAAACTGAAGGCCTCATTGAATCAGCCGTGGTAACCACTACAAAAGACTCCAGATTTTCGCTAGCCAAGAAGAAACAAAGCTGCAGGTGAGGGCAGACTCTGTTCTCCCTGTGCCCTGTCTCCATCTGGAGGGGCTTAGACTGCTTGCGGCGGTGGGCAAGGTGGAAGTTCCCAGCTGGCAACGCCTCGAAGTGATTATCGTGGAGTTGGCAGACAGTTTCCAGCATGGTCCCTTTCTGCCAGCTGTGTGTTTGGGGGGGATGGGGAGGGGATGGGGGGGGGAGGACACCTATCTTTTTCCACAGGTATCTTGCAACTAAACTCATTTTAGCACAAAGTCGTTTCCTGGTCATAAAGAATACCCCCTCCTCATTTGTGCACTGTTTGTCTGCATATAGAAACACATGTATTCGTATACATCAAAATGCATACACAATGTCAGGCGCAATATCACAGACATAAAGCTCTATACAGCAAAGAGTAGAGTATGAAATCATGATGGCACCCTACGGTCTCATGCATCCTTTTTGCTGGTTTCTGCTGAGGCCTTTTGTGTAAATTGCAATCATTGCATTTGACGTTTCCTCTGCTGGTCTGGTAATACAGACTTCACTATATGATTTTCCCCATTTTATAAATGGGAAAAGTGCAGCTGGGAACACAAAACTCAGTCTCACCAGTGTAATGCCAGCCACCTACCGCCTGAGTCATCCCAGGAGTCACCCAGGGGAACTAGGTTACTGCCTTAGTCACCACGAGAACACAACTCTGCATCAGGTAAATTGCAGAGTCAGTGGTGGTAACAGATGAGGAATTTCTGGGGTGCTGTTTTGTCTTTAGAATGCACTTTCAACCCTAACCCGTGTTAACAACCTCCTGGGGTCCTAGGTTTGCTAAAATTATCTTCATGAAAGAATGGATTTACTTATTTATTGATAATTCAAGTACCTCAAGTACTGACCCAAGTTGATAAGGCTTGTGGTCATTCTGGTTATTGAGGGCAGATATGCTGTATTTTACCACCTAGTGTGGCTTGTTTAATCATCACTATTGCCCAGTATTGAAACTCACTCAGTGGGCAGCATTTTTCTTGGTTGGATTTATGATATGTTTCTCTACTGAAAAACTTGCATTTATCCCTAGGAACCTAGCTATCCACCCCCAGTACAATCATCTTTGTTTCAAGACAAGAAAGTAATTAAGCGAAAACTTAATCAACTGATTAAATAGAGACTTTACCTATCAAATATACAATATTACTGTATGTTGATGACATGCATCTTCCGCTTTGCATCTTCAAAGCCCTTAACTAGTTTCCATTGAATCAGCGGTGGGTTGGGTTTTTTTTGATGCAGCAGAGATTGCATTAGCATCAAAAGCTTGGAAACTAGATTTTTTTTTTTTTTTTTCTTTTAAAGACAACTAAAAATAGAAGTATATATTTGCTGGGATTTTCAGTAGTTCCTATTTTTGAAGGGCCTCAGTGTATTCGGGGCAAACATGATGCATCTGGAGCACATTTGATTAAAAAAACCCAAACCTCTAAAACAACCACCAGCTACTTGCCCTCCAAAAGGAAAGTTTTGTCTCGGTTACTACTGGAACGGCCAAGTAGAGCTGGATTTATTTTAGCCTGCTAGAAAAGGCTGTCGTTCTTCAGAGACACCACAAGAGGGTAGTTAAAGAGAGACTGAAATGTGTAGGCTGATGGAATGGCTATGCCGTTTCATGCAAGGTGAATGTAGCTGTAAATGATTTTCGTGAGCATCTGATCTGTGAGGAGCTCTCCTGTTCCCCTGCATAAATGACAGAAATCTCAACGGTGCTGTGGCAGGCAGCGATCAGGTTGACTAAGGAATGACCTTGTTTTATCACATCTAATAAGAGGGACTAAAGTGGTCCATACCCAGAGCTTTCAGCTAGATAAAGGCAATCATATTTTGGAGAGTTATGCTTACATTGCATGGTTCTA